AGCCTCACAACCCAGCGCTCAACTGCTGCGCCACCAGGGGAGGCCCACTAAGTGTCTAACTTTAGACAGCAGTGTTCAACTGGATCATTTAATAACCAAAAGGCAAGCAGAATATAGATTCCCCCCCGCCACTATCCAAAAATACAGTTTCTATTTGATATGATTTGATAGGTTTTTTTTGAGTTTGGCAATGCTCACAAAATTTTTTCTGTGTGAATTAATGTTAATGGCATTTCCAGACCCCCCTGCAAGTGATATCAAAAAGATTGAGGATACAGAGAGCTTACAATACAACACACATACACACACACACACACACACACGAAATGTCTATTCAAGGAGGAATCATAAAAACTCATTATAGATTCATAAGAAAAATCTTAATATTTATGAAGAATTAAGCTGTGGGCCGTACTCTCTCATTTTTGTTTTGAAGGGCAAAGTAATCCTCAATTAAGTTCCAAATCCCAATTAAAATTTAACTTTACGGCGCCAGCTTTGCCCACCTGTGTTTGTGCAGGTGCTGCTCCTTTCCATTCTCTTTCTCCTCATAAATTTGTCCTTTTAAAAATGAAAAAAATAAAAGAAAAATTTAACTTTACATTTGTTTGCTCTCAAATGTAGGCAAGTGCCAGATATTTGATGATCGCAATTATGTTAACTTAAGAAGATAATGTAAGTTGGACATCCAGATTCTAATTGATAAATAAATATTAAATAAAAGATACTAGATGGAAAACTTCTTGAGGGCAAAGAGTTGCACTTGTTTGACCCAGCTCACTCTCTTGCATGTAGTTGTGTGACACAATGAATCATTAATGAACTTTCAGAAACTTTAAGCTTTGCTCATTAAAGAAAATTTATAAATAAATCTCTTCACACAAATTAATTTCTTCCATACAGTTCTGTTGAGTTCTGACATGTTCATTTTCTCTCCCCTCAATTTAGTTTTTGAGGCCAAAGGCCAGGTTTCCACTTCACACCCACATAGGACCTAGCACAGGAGAAGTTCCAGACACAGAATAAGCACGTTTCATACAACTGGTAATGTGATTAGCAAGCTTGGTGACTGCAAATGTCCTCTGTGCTACAGCAGGCCTGGCCAAGTGGGACCCAACAGATCCTGCTCCCCCAGCGTGGCAGCAGCTGACGGGAGTGGCCACCCACACATCGGTGCAGCACGCAACTGTGATTCCTGAGACCATGGCGGGCACCCAGCAGCTGGCCGACTGGAGGTGAGTGGGCAAGCGGGTGTGTTTGAATGAGAGCCATGTCCACTGCTGACCCAGATGGCTGCTGGGCTGAACTCTACCGATTCCCTGGTTGGCAGAGGACACTTTCAGTTAAGAATATAAGGTGGAGGGCCTCCCCGGTGGCGCAGCGGCTGAGTGCTGGGCTGCGAAGCTGCCTGCAGCCTCTGCAGCGCCGGTTCGATCCCCAGCCCACCGGCGAGGGTCCCACATCACGCTCAGACCTCTCCTGTCGCGACCATTGCTCCCCTCAGCAGTGTATTTCGTCAGTCTGCCTGTTCTGCTCCCTCCTTCTCTGGCTCTGGTGAATTCTCTCATCCTCCGGCATTTCTGACTGTACCCAGTGCTTGTTCATTATTCATTCTAAACATCGGGGCAGGTCACACCCGCCCTCTGACCATCTCCATACTGACCATGGATCCTCCCCCAAAGTTCCTTTTCTGACTTGAAAAGACTATTGAGAATTAAGAGCTCTCATAAAAGGGAGAGGGGTGGAGACATATGTCCCCAGTCAAGCCTCAGCTTCCTCTCTTCTGTTTCTTCCTTCTTCCTGCTGCTGAATGCATAGGATCTGTCCTTCAGCCCTACTGACCTCCCCACTGACAACAGCATGTGAACCCCTATTCGGGGGAGGTGCTCTCAAACCAAGTAAAACTGGGTGTGCATTATCTGAGGCAAAATACTTACCTTTTATGAGCCTTAGTTTTTTCTTCAGTAAACGTGGGAATAATAACAGTTCTGGATTGTGGGAAGGTTTAAATTAAGATAAAACACAAAGCACTTGGCCTGTATTTACATGGCCCGAACAAGCACCTGGTACATGGACAGGCAATAAATAAATCCGTTATCTTCCTTTCTCATTGCCATGGGTTCCTGCTCAGCCAGACGGCCTTCCCTCTCACTCCTGAGTTACAGCCACAAAGGAAAAGCTATTAGATCCATTTTTTTTTCCTCACCTCATTTTCATCACACTATGTTGAATTCCTTTTTCCTTCTTTCAGCATTTTTACCTCACTCACTTCCAGCAATAACACACAGTCATTCATGCATATTTACTTGCTCTCCTCCCTCCTCACCTTCTACCCTGTTACACAAGCATCCAATGAATTTTCAACATTTTCTTTCAGTCTCTTCTCCAAAGACTATCCCTCCCTCATCATGGCTAATAAACAAGAGAAGTACGATGCTTGACATGGAAAAAGAATGCCATGTCTGTAGGAGAAATAGCAACAACAAAATTAAAAAGCCGTAATGTCAGTTTCTGAAGTCCACATAAATGTCCAAAAGAGTCTATCAAGGGGCCTCCCTGGTGGCGCAAGGGGTTAAGCACAGCACTATGAAGCAATCCGCAGCCTCTGCTGCACAAGTTCAATCCCTGGCTTGCCAGGGAGCAACCCACATGGCGCAGCAGACCTCTCCTGTCTTGCCCGCTGCTCCCCTCAGCAGTGTGTCAGTCAGTCTGTCTGTTCTGTTCCCCACTCTGTCTTTGGTGAATCCTCTCACCCCCCCCACCCCCACATATTTGGCCTGTACCCCAGCTCTTGTATGCATAAATAAATCTTTTTTTTTTAAGTTTTTTTTTAAAGTCTATCAAATTCTCTACAGAAGTGTCTACTTCTTATTTTTGTCCTAGTCAACCTTTTCCCCAAGTTGGAAGATAAATTTTATGCTTTCAAAATTCAAATGATTCTCTTTTTGCTCTTCACTGTTTTTAAGTGGGCTTTATAGGACAGTCTCTGAATTAATCACCACGTTTACTGTTTTTTTTGGAAAACAAGCTTTTGAGCTCCATACAATCCCCACCTAAGAGCTTTTGAAACATCACCCAGCTTCAGGATAACTGCCAGTATTTCTATAAACATGTGTCTGACTGCTATTAATTTTGATTTAATACCAAATTCTACGCATGTCTAGTCAACCTTCAGTTAATCTAATTATTCATTCAGCAAGCGTGTAATTAATTGATCAGCTGCTACATGCCTGAGCGTGGCGCTAGCCACCGAGAGAATTCAAAAGAATGTTAACACTTCCTAAAGCCAGAAACATATGGCTCCCAGTCTTCAAGGCTTGTTCTGCACATAAACTACAATTTCTTCACTTATGAAATGGTATTGCTAAGATATCCAGCTGCCTCACAGAGTGGAATAAACCTTTGAAGACACTTTATAAATTCTGAAATAAAATACCCAATAGTCACCTGTTTAGGAACTTTAAACACTTTGGGATATCTATCTGTTTGGGATATTTATCTCCTGTCCCCAGAGTAAGCGACCTCTCCCCGTATTTGCCATTCTTCCTATGTGAAATGTCCTCTTTCTCCCCACCAATAAATTGTGTTCCTGCCACTCCTTCAGAACATCTGGAAATTTATTGATGACTTGTCAGAGGTGGGCCCCTCTCTTCAGCACCCACAGGGCAATGCGAACCAATGGCTGGTTTTAATTTGTCTTTTAAGTGGTGGGGGGAACCTTTATGCTATCAAGGAGTCCTGTGTTCCTAAAACCAATAAAAGTTCTGGCTTGCCCATCTCCCTTTTCAGGAACACGCATGCCCACGGCAACCATTACAATCCCATCATGCAGCAGCCAGCGCTCCTGACTGGTCATGTGACCCTTCCAGCAGCCCAACCCTTAAACGTGGGTGTAGCCCACGTGATGCGGCAGCAGCCGACCAGCACCACCTCCTCCCGGAAGAGTAAGCAGCACCAGTCCTCTGCCAGGTAGGTGGGGAAGCCGGGGTGTCTCCTTGGAGGGAGAACCCCAGGAGATGGGGCTTTCAAAATCTTCTCAGCATTAGGGAGTGTCTGCATGTGCCCCGTCCCTGGCCAGGGCAGGGAGTGGCCCTCGCTGGTGCTAGGGCTTAGCAGTGCCCAGTGAAGCTCTTTTAACTGCTGGAGTAGTGAAAAATGTGATCTCGAAATTATAGCATGTTAACAAGAGCAAGTACAGAGGTTTATGTTAAGTGCAAACAGTGGAATAATCTTATTAAAACTTATTGCCAGCCCTCAAAAAGGAACAAGCAGTGTATCTGACACCAGCTAGATAGAGATTGAGTGAAATCCATCTTTATGGAATGATTTTCATCTTCCTGCATCTCTTTAACAGAAGGTGCTAGAATCCCTAAGGACATACAGAGTCCAGTGTCATCCCTTCGCGTTTGTCTCACTGTATAGATACAGCCAAGGTCAACAAGGGTTGATGGAGAAAGGGGGGTATTTTTTTAATTATCCACTCAATACTTTCATAGTCATGTCCCTCTGCCAGAGGAAGGCGCGAAAGGTAAACTTGAAGGTCAGCAGTGTTAGATACTTTAGCTCCAGGTACTTGTAGGAAGTGAGTGTGCTAGTTTAATAGACGGTAAAACCAGCCGTTAGCAAGAAAATCAAAGCTTCAGATGACAAATAACCATTTCTTCCAGCTCCCTCCAAGACAACATAAGGGTGTCTGGGAGGATGACAGATGGACTCAGGAAGTAGGACCTTGATCCTGAAGATGGTGCTGTGTTGGGACAGACACCCTGAATTCTGGGTTGTACTACTGCACCCCCATGTCCAGCCCAGTCCCTCTACCTTCTCCTGAGAGGCACAACTGCCCCCTCTATCCTGCCGGAAGCAGGTACAGGAGCCCAAGCCCAGAGAAGGCAGGCTGCTGCCCCATCTGTGTAGAAAGAAAGAGCTCTAGCGGCAACCACATTTTGTAGCTACGGATAGAGTCTGAGTGCCCTGACCCCCCTTTCTAATGGAGACTCAACCAAGCTGGTGTTTCCAGATAGGCCCTTGGAAGGAGCTGCTGGGCCTGACCTTCCACTGAGTGTGTGTGTGTGGCTCTGTCGTTACAGAAACGTCTCCACCTGTGAGGTGTCTTCCTCTCAGGCCATCAGCTCCCCTCAGCGGTCCAAGCGCGTCAAGGAGAACACGCCTCCCCGCTGCGCCCTGGTGCACAGCAGCCCGGCCTGCAGCTCCTCCGTCACATGCGGCTGGGGTGACGGTGCCTCCAGCACCACCAGGGAGCGGCAGCGGCAGACCATTGTCATTCCCGACACCCCCAGCCCCACGGTCAGCGTCATCACCATCAGCAGCGACACAGATGAGGAGGAGGAGCAAAAGCACGCCCCCACCAGGTGAGGCTGTGCACTGCAGACTTCCAGGAGGAGCAGGCGGGGTGCTGCTGCCTCCCCCAGAGACAGTTCCTGTGGATCTGGGCCACTTCCCTTCCGACCTGACAGTCCCCCTTCCTGGCCCCTGCAGTTCGGGTTCCGCCATGTCCGAGAGGCCTAAAGCGATGTCAAGGGAATGTCAGACTCATTGGCCATCATTGTTCTAACCAAAATAATTTTGAATCATTTTGGTCTTGAAAAAAATCATTATAGACCCTGTACACTGGGGGGCTTGGGATCATAAAAATTACGCAGCAGTGCCGTTTCAATCCGTGTAAGCTTAAAACTCCGCCTCAGGCTATTGAATTTATTCCCAGTTGGTCAGGATATTTCTCTAACATCGCCTTGGCTCTCTCAGATTTTGAAGTAATTGTCCAATTAATCAGAAGTTTCCCGTGTCTGATTAACCAATCTTTCAAACTGCCAGTTGGCTCTTTACCCAGAGAGCTTTACTGTTTATTCCAAAGTATACAGAACTCATTTTACTCTGTGTGCTTCCCGGGAGAAGGGGAATTATTTATTATATTTGCAAGACTGTTAACCCTGGCGCCAGCGCCCCTCTCCTGCGCTTTCCCGCCAGACTTCAGAGCTCGGTTTGTGCTGGGGCTGCCTGGTGAACCCCTGGATCTTGCCCCTCGGGAGCAGTCCCGTGGCCTCCTGCACCCCTTTGATCTCCATGGCTCATAGACCCAAAGTCTCCCCAGCCCATAACTGGATGCGAAGCTCAGCAATCACAATTAGACCCAAATTTTTAATTCCTGATTGGATACAATGTCACTAATTAGCCATCACAAATCCTTTTGATTAGATAATAAATTCCCATACTTTGAAATCATTACAGACTGTACAGATAGACTGATTAAAATATCCTCGCTGTAGCTCTTCCTGCCTGGCACCCCTCCCGTCTTTACGGTGAGGCTCGGTGTTCTGTTTTAGGTTTCCATGATGCAGCGAGCGTCTGTCTCATTCGATGTGCTCCTTCCCCAGTTAATGGCTCAGCCTGATCTTGAGTGCGTTGCAGAGAAGACTGTCACGGCGCCTGTGGTCTTAGCATCATGCCGGAGGCCAGGGGGCCTGGGGCCAGGGAGACCAGGCTCCCTGTCTAGGCAGGGCCGCGCTTTTATACCAGCCCCAACTGGGTCAATAGCACATCCTCCCCAGTGCCTCCTGCCCTCCAGCCCGGGGATTTTGTGGGCTCTGCAGGTCCTTCACCGGGAGAAAGGTGCCGCCCAGCCTGGGGCAGGGCGTGGGTGGTTTGTAGCGTTCAGAAAAGGACCCAACAGCCTCACACAGCCCTTGGCCACCACTGAACAGAAGTAGAAACAGTTTAAAACACTGACCACGCGCTTGAGTGGAGTCTCATTCTGGAAGGACGAGCTTTGAATTGACACTGGATCTCAACCCTTGGGCCCAGGAGGGAAGGGGATAGTGTGTCTGAGGAAAAGGTGACAGAGCTGTGTCCTCTTCCCCCCAGACAGTGGTGGGGACTGAGAGGCAGAGCTGAGATGCCTGGCAGCCTGCCAGGACCTTGGTGGCAATGACCTGGGGCTTGGGGCCTGTAGGCAGGTGCATATGAGGGACACCCACAGGCAGTAAGAGCCACGAGCACCAGAGTTCATCAGAGAGAGATGTAGGGGCTCGCCTGCCCCCCATGAGGACAATGAAATGCACTGGGGCCATTACCCCAAGTGGGGAAGCTCAGGTCAAGGCTAGAGAGCAGAGAGGAGTTGGTAAGGGCCTCAGGCTGCCCCCCGCCGTGGGGACAGGCGCCCACAGAATGAGGTCATATTGTTTTCTGGTGCGAGTAAGTGACTGTTGCCCAGAAAAAAACTGTTTAGGGCCCAAGAGACTGGAAAGTGGATTTGAATCCAAGTAGGAGCAAGCAAAAACCAGCAAACTGTTTTATAGAGGGAGAAACTACTGGGTCATGTGATCACATAATTGTGACTTCATTGTGGAGTGAGGAAAAAACGGGTGAGGGTGAATTACAGCTTCTTAGGACAGAGTGATCACAAAGTTCCACAGAGTGCATATTTATGGGCCCCACCGGTGTGAGACAGCACGCTTGGAAATGCAGGGGTTACATAAATAAGGTAGACATTCTGTCCTCGTCCTCGGGAGGGGTGCAGGGTAATGAGCAAGGTAAGATCTAGAAATCATCACGACACAAAACAGTATCAGTCCCATAAAAACCAGCCGGGTCCTGTGGGGATGCCGCAGGGAAACAGTTCGAGGAAAAAGCAGGGAGGGAGGGAGCTTTTTAAGGTCAGAGGCCTCGCAGGCGTGACCTGAGTAGGTGAGGTCGCAAATTCACATGGGATAAGTGGGGGGCAGGGCCTCAAAGGTAGGCAGGGAGGATCAGGACAGCAGTGAGCAGCAGGCCCAAAGAAGCAGGCAGTGAGGAAGAAAGGGGTTTAGAATGGAAAAGGGGTGTCGAGGGTGACCCCTTCCATGGGGGTGATGCAGGGGGGCTCAAGGGAAAGCATCACTCCTGAGAAAACAAGGGTGTCCGGCAACCCCCAAGTGCAGCAGTCAGGGAACCTCTCAGCTGCTCTCCTGCTGGAAGCTTCTCCAGCCCGTCAGGGCTCCAGTGTCAGCAGTGGAGGCCCTGCCTCCCCAACTCTGGGCCTTGTTGCTCCCAAACCCACTTTCAACTGGGCCCAGAGCATCTGAACTCTGATCCCCATGTCCCCCCTTCACCTCCTCTTCGCTCTTCACCCCCTAGTCTGGCCCTGAACCTGCTTGAAATGCCGACTCCTTCCCCCGGGTGCGTCAGCCTCAGCCCAGCAGCTGGAGCGTCATAGGCCACTGGGCAGGTGACGGCACCTCCCGTGCCAGTGTCTTATTGCGCCAACCTGATACTAAAAACGGTTACCCCACCTGTGTAGGCCCGATTGTCTAAACAACTGTCACTGCATCCCCGGAATCAGATGACCATTTAGAGGAAGGCCAAGGCACCGCGGTTATCCCGACCCCCAGTGTGTGGCTTTGTTAGTTGCCAGAGCAGATGGATGGTCTGCAGCTCCCACTTGTAAGGACTCCAGGGTGTGGTGGGGAGGGGGGGTGTGGGGGCGGGAGCAGCCTAGGAGCCAGTGGGTTGTGGGGGAGGGGTCAGAACAACACTCAGCAAATGTTTTCACCTGCTCGATCCGGTGCATCACTGATGGGGTTTACCAGGCCAGTAGTTCTAGTCCCATTCACTAGATGAGGAAACTGAGGCCCAGGACAGGTAAGTGCCTCGACCCATATTGATAAAGTTCTCAGTAGCAGAATTGGGACTTGGGTCCCAGACCATTGAAAAAATAGCAATCTTAATTACTGGCCAAAAAAAAAAAACAATTTCTCTTAAGTCATTAATTCAACAAATATAAATTGTCCTGCCCCCTCCTCTGAGCCCCACGATGTCCTGGTTGCACCCACTGTGCGCAGGGTACCAGGCCCAGGCTATGGGAGCCTGGGTGTCGCTCCCTGAGCCCCGCTTTTGTTTGTCACAGCGCCAGAGCTCTTGAATATGTGTTACTGGGTTGGAGAAGCATTGACTGCCTCCACATGCTGAGTCAGCCTTCTCTCCTCCCTGGAATCTCCCGGGGCAGAGTTTACAGGTGCGAGTCTTATTCAGACCCTCTGCCAACTCCGCCTCACCCTGGAACTGTGCTTTAGAGAGCCCGCGGCCCGCTCACACAGGCTTGGGTTACCAGGGTCATTTTTGAAGCATGTGACCAAGTGGCTCATCTCAACTGACCAACCAGAGATCATTTTGTCCATTATCCACTATTTGTTCATTGATTCCTTCTTCGGATTATCTGGATGTTTCTGGCAGGTGCCTCGTGTGTTACTTAGATCACCAGGTACAGCTGCAGCATCACTTCACACGTGTAAGCAATTGCTCAGCATTACAGGGAATGTTGCCAAGATGTAGGCTTTAAGAAAATTGGCTCCTAAATATCACTCAATATTTCAGATATGACTCACCCTCAAGAAAGTTCATATAAAGAAAATTGCCTCGACGTGTTCTGCTTTTGACCTCATTGAAAACCTAAAGAAATTATTCTAGAAAAATCATAGTAAGGAAACTACGAAATTACTGCGCACCAAATTACTGCTCAAAAGATGGTGCCCTGAAAAACTAACATCCCTTAACACTGGGGGGAAACACACGCGCGCACACGTATGTGGTGGGCCAGGAGCTACCCCACGCACTGTGGGCTCCACATCACCTACAGTGTCGCTTCCTGGGTGACTGGTGGCCAGCGTGGCCCCTGCCGTGGGATGTGGGGGTCCAGCTGGAGGGAAGGCGGGGTGGGAGCACGGGGTCGGTGGAAGGGACTTGTGGCGGCCCCCAGGTGAGTGAGAGTGCAGAGCTCTGACACATCTCGGGTGACAGGACGGCTTGTCCAGCGGAGCCCATCCTCGGAGAGCTCCATTCACGACAAGCCAGCGGGTTGAGCAGCCTGGTTGAGGGGCTGCATTTTGAAGGGCCGCATTTGGAAGAGACACTGTGCCCCACCGTCTGTCCCCTGCATGTCACAAACCCACTGCCAACGTGCTGTGCCTTCCTCGACAGGGAGAAGGGGATGGCAGAGGATTGGCTACCGCGGGGCGGGGCAGGGCAGGGCCCCGTTTGCAAAAGATGGATTAAGTCACAGGGTGGGGTCATTCACCGGCCCCTTGATTCAGACTTCTCTAGAAGGTGGTCACTGACAAAATGACTTAGGTGGTGTGTATGCATGGATGTGTGTGCACAGCCACGCAGAGACACTCACCTAGATGCCAATGTGCAAGCTACCCTCTGCAGGGAACAGGTACACCGAATTTGAAGTGGATTTAGTGTGTCCTCCCTAATGACTTAAACAGGGAGCTACTTAACATGTGGGAACAAGCGCTTTGGCCTGGAGCCATTGGCTTCTCCATCTCGCCCTGGGGAGGGCGGTTAAAAGCAACCAGACGTGTGGACCCCCCTGGTG